AAATCCGTTCTGCTAATCTTTATCTCTTTACAGGGGCATTGAGACCATTTATATTCAGAGTTAATAATGATATGTAAGGCACTAGCCCGTTCATCCCGCTGGTTGTTATCTGGTTGCTTTATTTTCTCTATTGTGTTGGTGTTTCATAAACCCTGTGATTTTTCTGTTTTCCAGCATTTTTCTATTGGTGTATTTTGACTTTTTTCTTTTTTTTTTTAACATGGAATGTGTCACAAATTGCATGTCATCCTTGTGCAGGGGCCACATTAATCTCTGTATCATTCAGCATGTGTGCTGCTGAAGTGAGCACAGTATTTCAATCTTTTGTTTCAGTATTTGAACCCCTCTGAATATTTCTTGTATATTTCAGTCTTGTAGTGACAAATTCCCTCAGTGTTTCCTTGTCTAAGACTCCATTTCGCCTTCATTTATAAAACTTAGTTTTGTGGGATTCAAAATCCTTGGCTGTTACTCTTTGAGGAGATTCAAGATGGGGCTCCAATCCCTTCCGGTTTATAGCATTTCCTCTGAGAAGTTTGGTGGTAGTCTGATAGGTTTATCTTAGTAAGTTATTGGATACTTTTCTCTCACTACTCTTAAAATTTTTCCTTCACATAACATTGCATATCTTTGGGGGTGACCTTTTCGCAAGTAAGCTTCTGGGAGTTCCTTGGACTTCTTGTATCTGGATATTTAAATTTCTGGCAAGGCCAGGCAAGTTTTCGTCGATTATTCCCTCAAATGTTTTCCAAATCCGTTGTTTTCTCTTCCTTTTCACAAACATTTATGATTCTTATGTCTTACATAGTCCCACATGTCTTGGAGACTGTTTTGTTCTCTTGATTCTTTTACTGTTGTCTGATTGGGTTATTTCAAAGTCTGATGGGGTTTTTCAAAGCCTTGTCTTCAAGTTCTGAGCTTCTTTCTTCTACTTGTTCTAGTCCACTCTTAAAACTTTCCACTGCATTCCACTGTACTTCCCTAAATGAGTTTTTAATTTTCAGAATTTCATCTGGTTTTTAATTTTATGTGTCTTATTTGAATAATTTTTTATTCATGCCCTAAATGGTTTTTGTCTTTTTAAGCATCTCTGTGCTGGTTTCCAACTTCTCCTGAATCTGACTGAGCAATTTTATAACCAACCCCTTGACTTCTATCTCTGGAATTTCAAAGATTTCATTTTGGTTAGGGTCCATTGCTGAAGAGTTAGTGTGGTCTTTTGGGGGTGTTGGAGAACTCTTGTTTTTTCATATTGTCCAATTATTTCTCTGGTTTCTTCTCATTTGGGTAGACTATTATATGAAGTTGGCAGGAGGGCTGGGGTAGGCACTTTAGGATTTCCTTGGTCGTATGTAGTTTGGCATGGCGAGTTTCTCAGTTTTCAGCTGTGGCAGTCCTGTGCTGGCTGGATACCTGCATAGGCTCAAAGAACCCTGAGTGGCCAAGATGGCTTGGTAAGTGGTGTTACTTGATGTCTGGGATCAGACTGTTCCCAAAGCTGAGGTATTATTTCGGATGTGATGGGTTGCACTGGTGACCTCCAATCAGGAAGTGGAGCTTGTGGGAGACAACCAGCTGAGATGGTGGTTGTGGGTTTTCTCTTTGGTGTGTGTTGCTCTAAGGATGTGGGCCTGGGCTGTGGGGATCACCCAAGTTTTCTGTTTCGAGCCTATGAAGCAGGTGTGGGTGAAGGCACTCAAGCTTTCCATTTGTGTGTACCCTGGGCTGCCCTTGTGGGGGTTGGGAGGAAGTCTCTAGCCACTGGGATAACGCTACTGCTGAGACGCACAAGTTTACCTTGGAAGTAAACTCAGCAGATTTGAGTTGAGTGCAACAAGTCCCACCCAGCTTCCTCACCTGGGCCTTACAGTTTGCTTTGGGGATGTCCAAGTGCAGCCAGCCTCCGGTGTTCTCAGGGTAGCCTGCCCCAAGCAGGAACTGCTTCTGTTGCATCTGCCCTTAGGGCCTGTCCTCTCCCAGGCTGGCTAGAAAGCAGCCACCCACAAGGGCTGAGTTCCTGGGATACGGCAGTGCCAGCTGCTCAGGGCTTTTTCTCCTGCACCCTTCTGTGTGGGTTTCAGCAGGGCAGTCAAGGCTGCGGCAGCGTCCCCCAAGGCACTGGAGGCCAGAGGGCCTTCCAAGGCCGCAGCAGAAGCGCAGAGTGCCTGAAATCCCTCCACTCACCTTCCTGCTGTGCCTGGAGGCTGCACACAGTTTGTGCTGGGGCCCGGGTGAGTCTGGCTGGCTCCGATCCAGGTTGGTTGATTTTTTTCTTCTTTGCACTACGTGGTGATTTCCTCTTCTGTGCTGAGTGGTGGGACGTGCTGCTGGCTGGCTCTGTTCTTCTCCGGGTGCTGAGAAAACTCTGTCTCGGTTTACTCCCTAGGAGAAACACGATCTGCCTCTGGCCGACCATCTTGTTCCAGATCCCGGTAGGACCTTTTTTAAGCATTTATCCTACACTGGACAGTGAAGTACTCTAAGTACCTCACAAGAGGTATCCCGTGAAATCCTCACAAGAGAACCCTGTGAAGTACGTCCTACTGTCATCGCCATTACGCAGATGACATGGAGGAAAAGAGGATAACTTGCCCAAAGTCACATAGCTAGTAAGTAGGAGAGCACGTGACTGAAACCCAAGTCTGGCATCAGAGCCTGCCTGTAGGAGGGTCGTTTTTTAAGGCTTTTTGCTCCCCCGCTTAAGGCAGCACCCTTTTATACCCTGGCTATCTTATGATAACGACATCTGTTTGAAAGGGTTCAGTCTTTTTGTCTCAGCATAACCATTAGAAAGCGTTCAGACATTCTACAGCAGAACAAGCAGCCTATCCCATCCCATCTCCCCTCAGCAAATCTCCTTCAGATGCAAGACCAGGACAGCCCAACCTTTCAATTCGTGGTTTAGCATAATAATCTCTAGTAAACTTCTAGGTTCCTTGTCAAGGCCGAAAATCAAAGATCACCCTTTGGCTGCCCAAAGTTATAAAAGTAATAACATGACCACCTTTGGTCAAGGAGTCTGTGAGTTGCAAATGTCTAACAAGCTTTTTGCAGGAAGGAACCCCTCTGAAGCCGGGCTCGGTGGCTCAGCCTGTAATCCCAGCACTTTGGGAGGCCGAGGTGAATGGATTGCCTGAGCCCGTGGGTTCGAGACCCGCCTGGGCAACTTGGTGAGACCTCATCTCTACAATAAAATAAAAAATTAGCTGGGCGTGGTAGCGCGCGCCTGTAGTTCCAGCTACTTGGAAGGCTGAGGCAGAAGGATCACCGGAGCCCAGCAGGTCGAGGCTGCGGCTGCACTCCAGTCTGGGTGACAGAGTGAGACTCCAACTCAAAAAAAAAAAGAACCCCTCTGGGCCCAGACTCCCCAGGGTTAACCTAATCAGCTCTTTGTGACCTGCGTGACACAAATAAGCCCGACCATGGCAGCAATCATGGGACTAACCTGCCCATCTGCCTGCTGTGCGTCACCTGACGTCAGTATCTGCGCTTGGCTGTCCCTTCGTGATGACGTGGAGCAGACCACCACCCAATCACCTTAATGATCTTCCCCGTCTAGGGGAATGCTTAAAAGGACTCAACCACAAGCAGCCAGCGGCCACTGCCTTGCTAGACTCTGGTGTGGCCACGTGCTCTCTGCGCTATGGCTGTCACCATGCTTCCTGGCTTTGGTCCCTCCCCCACCTTGGGAAGGTGAATCTTCTTTCTTCCTTCTCTTTCTCTAATTTACTCTTAAATAAACGTTTCTTTCTTAATCTTTTCTGTGTGTTGCAGTTCTTTGCAATTCCTTGGATCTCTGAGTTACCAGTGCCGCGCCTCCCCTCACCCCTCCAGCACGCCGCCCTCAGCCTGTCCGGACCCTAACACTAATAAGTCTTTCTCAGAGAGAAATTACATTCAGTGAAGAAGAAAGACTGTCGAGAAGATCATACTGTCTGCTAATGTATTTGTAGCTGATTTATTCAGGGAATGGCAGATTTTTGTTTCTACCGTGAATATACACATTTTAAAAATTCTGCCCAGCAGAAGCCATCAGCAGCTTCAAATAAAAATCCTTGAGTTGGGGTTCTCAGACTTTGGTGTCACCTGGTAGGCTCACCCAAACAGACTTCTGGCCAGGTGCAGTGCCTCAGACCTGTCATCCCAGCCCTTTGGAAGGCTGAGGCAGGAGGACTTCGAGGCTAGAAGTTCCAAGATCAGCCTGGGCAATATATGTGGGACCTAGTCTCTGCAAAGAATTTTTGAAAAATCAGCTGGGTGTGGTGACATACAGTTATAGTCCCAGCTACTCTAGAGGCTGAGGTGGGGAAAGATTGAGTCTAGGAGTTTGAGCTGCCATGAGCTATGATTGTGCCACGGCACACTAGCCTGGGCAACAGAGTGAGACCCTGTCTCTAAGCAAACAGAACAAAAAACCTAAAACATACCTGTACGATGACCACTTGTATACCTAATCCTGAATTGTACACCACCTTTTTTTTTTTTTTTTTTTTTTTGCTTAAAGTCTCACTCTGTTGCCCAGGCTAACCTGATGGGCTCAGGTGATCCTTCCACCTCAGCCTTCCAAGTAGCTGGAACTACAGGGGTGTGCCACCATGCGTGGTTGATTTTAAAAATTTATTTATTGTAAAGACGAGGTCTCACCAAGTTGCCCAGGCTGGTCTTGAACCCGTGAGCTAAAGTAATCCTCTTGACTTGGCCTCCCAAAGTGCTCGGATTACAGGAACCCCACATCTTTAAAACAAACAAACCAACAAAAGGAACAACAAAACCAGATCGCTGAGCTTCACTCAGAGTTTCTGATTCAGCAGGTCTGGATTGAGGCCCAAGAATTTGCATTTTCTAATAAGTTTCTAAGCAATGCTTTTGCTGCTTGTTCAACCACACTTGGAATACCACTGCTTTGTAAGGGTAGGTGCCACTTTACAGTATCCCACATGCCTTTTTATTTTTCTATTTCTCTTGAGTTTACTTAAATGAAGCAAAACCACACACTTAAAAACTCTTAAATGGAGAACAAATTTTATTCTAAAAATAGATCTTAGTAACAATGAATACCAAAAGCTGGTCATTATAATAAAAAGGAAAAAAAAATAACAGGAGTTTCCTTTTTTTTCTGAAAATACAAAATTATCACTATAGTATACTGCCAACTCTCATTTATTTGTATTTGTATTACTGTCTCCTTTTTATGTATGGATTATTCAAGGACATTTCAAAATCACAGATTGGCTTCTGCCTAATATTTAGATATACATCCGAATTGTTTTGATCTTCAAATAAATACATTCTCAAGGAATGCAAACAAAATTGAGCATTTGCTGAAGTAAACATAATTAGGAAGATAAATCTGTACTTAGGAAATACGTTCAAAAGCAAAATATGTTGTTTTGCATAACCATTTCCCTCTATTTTTACAGTTAAAAAAAAAACCCTGCGTTGATAGCACTAGTATTTGAATGTAACAAATTATACTACTTATAGACATAGAGAAAAGACATAACTAAACTATTTCAAACCCCCAGCAGAGAAACTTTCAAGGCAGCTAATAACATTTAGTCCTTAAAAAGTGGTTTTCTATCTTCAAAGTGCTAAAGAAACAAGTATTCAAGAAAAAACTTCAGGTCGATTCACAAAGTTCTAACTGACTTAAGCGTGTAGGGGACAAAACAAATTTAAAAGGCCCTCATTAGTATCAAGCAGATCTTAACTACGTTTTGCAAAGAAATGAAAGCAGTGGTTGCATAACCAGTTAGGGCCAAGTCAGCAACCTACAGCTCACTTGTCAGCCCGCGTTTCTCTTCAAACTGAGCAAACGTGTTTCACAAAACGTATATCCAGTCATATACGTATTTTGAAGGATTCTTATCCCTGTTCATCAGATCACTGGTTATAACGCACAGCAAGCAGAAATGATCCATTTCAAAAACCTTTGTATCTGGCATTCTCTGCAAAGCAAAAGCTGACCACAAAGGCTTATTTTATTCCTATTAAATCAGGTGCATGTTCGTTAGGACACCCATTTTTGGACTTTTAGAAATTGCTGTGACTTACTTTGGCCCTCTTAAATAGAAATTCTTAGGATTTAATGTGACTAAATACCTCTATCATTAAAACTCGACCCTGAGATTCAAGTGCTGGAATATGATCTGGAAAACTGAAGACACTTCAGGATAGTGGCTAACACTGGTGCTGCTACAATACTGTGCTTTTTCTCTCCATCAACACGAAGCATCTGAAACGTACCCTCCCCCTTCAGTTGTGGCGTAAGAGGACCGGGTCTGGGAATACACCCGAATAAGGAAGCTGGAAATTTCCTATCTAAAAATCCCGCTCTTAGAATTTCCTAAGAACGCACTCTAAAACATGTTGCTGTTTTAGCGTAAAAATGTCATTTCCCCAAATCGGAGTCAGATCGACGGTGCGTGAAAAGGCAGCATTTTCATCCTGCCGGGGAATAACCCGGGGAAAGCCCCACACTCCCTAGCTTCATCGACACAGCACTCACCACAGTTCTGACTCTACAGAATTCTAAATGTTGTTTTGGAAACTGGGGCCCTTTCTTAAAGTCAGTTTGCGCTCTACTGAAAAGTTCTAGACAGTGAAAGCAGCTCTACATTTCTTAAAAATATTCACTGAACATAAAATTAAGAAACAAATATGAACTAGAGCCGTTTCCAGTGGTGACAACATTCTCACAGCAGCAAAGAACCTAACTTGCACGAACTTTTTTCCCCTATAATGCCAAGATTATTTAACACTAGCAACTAAGTCTTTAAAACATTATCATGTTAAACGTTGCAGTTTATCTAAATTATGCAGAGAAAAAAAACTCTATCAACTAACACTGAAAGCTCAAAAGAAGTTATGAATAAAAATACACGCTCTCCAATGCTCCAATGGATCTCTAATACGGCTGAATCCAGGTAGTTTTGGGTTTTATGTGAAGATACTGTGTGTTTTGTTTGTGTTGTGTTTTGTTTCTAGGCCAGCTACTACACTTGAAAGCATATACAAACCGTTGATGCTTTCCTTACATTATGCTTCAGACCTGGGTTTACTTGATTGGACAATTTCTGTTGTGTGGCATGAGTAATTTTTTTGTATGCGCAGATGGCATCTTGCCTTTCAGTTACTGGTCCTATGTGACCAATGCCACAAAAACATGAGACAGAACATGTTTATCTTACCATAAATTTGCTAAAAGTGAACAGAACCATTGTGTTAACTGTCTGTAAGCGCCAAATGTTTATTAAAAAACCCAGATCTTTTTTACCTTTAGGAATCATGAAAAGTCTTTACATATTTATGTTATCCATTATGTGCATGGCCTATTTATTACTTTCAAGAAGAGAACGTTGTTTTCGGCTATGAATAAACCAAGATTAATCGACAGGGCTGCGTCCATCATCTTTCCTCGGCCCTTGGGTTTCCTTAAATGATGGCATCGTGTTCATCTCTGTAACACATTAAAAGTCACAATCACGCGGTTTAGTATTTCCATCGGAACTACTTATATGTGCATATTTGTAAGCAGAGCAACATCAGGACAATTTCAGGCTTCACAATCAAAACTGTCACTGCTCTGTGGAAAGCTCCGGAATAAAAATATCCAGGATTCCCACAGTGGTTGAGGCTGCCGAAGCCGCCCTCAGCTCTCTTTGCCCTGCTTCTTGGGGGCTGCCGGACTTTACCCCCGTTGGCTCCCATAATCCTCGTTCAGAGGCGAAGGGCAACGCAAAAGCACCTCCGGACCACGCCCGGCGTTTCTCGAGCACTTACTTACGGGCCAGGTGTTGTGCTAGAGACCGCACCCCCACAGCCACGGCATCACCACCGTAACCCTGGGCACCGCCATTTCACTGATCAGCCTGTTTTTCAGGGACCCGGGAGCGAAGCACGCGCATGAATGCACACCTTCAAGCCGGGCTCCTGGTCGTGCACGGCACACTGCCTCATTGCATAAGCACGGAAGGCACCCCTGCCAGTCAGGAGCAGAACCAGTCTCACACCTCAGTCTGTCTGGGATGTGGGGAGAGGGAAATCGAGGCGCGCTCTTCAAGAGGTACGAAGTGCTAGTTATGCAGCATTAAGTTCCAGAGCACTGAACCACACTGTGCCTGTCCTGAATACTCTACTGCCGCTTAAAAGTTGAGGGTCATCTCATATGAAATGCTCTTACCGCAATTAAAAAAAAAAGCAACTAAGCCTGTCTGTCCCAAAGCCCTGTTTTTTAACCATTTCACTCTACTGTCTCTCCATGCAACTCTAAAAAAGAAGCTAAGATATTAATCAGTGTTTTCATCTGTGTTGTCATCCAAAAATCAAAATTAGAAATGCTCATTAATGCTGGATATAGAAGCCAGGTTCGGTAGCTCAGCCTGTAACCCTGCGCCTTGGGAAGCTGAGGTGAGTGGATTGCCTGAGCCCACGGGTTCGAGACCCACCTGGACAACTTGGTGAGACCTCATCTCTGCAATAAAC